TCTCGCTCTGTCGCCCAGGCTGGAGTGCAGTGGCCAGATCTCAGCTCACTGCAAGCTCTGCCTCCCGGGTTTACGCCATTCTCCTGCCTCAGCCTCCCGAGTAGCTGGGACTACAGGCGCCCGCCACCTCGCCCGGCTAGTTTTTTTTTGTATTTTTTAGTAGAGACGGGGTTTCGCCGTATTAGCCAGGATGGTCTCGATCTCCTGACCTCGTGATCCGCCCGTCTCGGCCTCCCAAAGTGCTGGGATTACAGGCTTGAGCCACCGCGCCCGGCCAGAATATATATATTTTTAATTATACTTAAGTTCTGGGTTACATGTGCAGAACGTGTAGGTTTGTGACGTAGGTATACATGTGCCATGGTGGTTTGCTGCATCCATCAACCCATAACCTACATTAGGTATTTCTCCTAATGCTATCCCTCCCCTTGCCCCCCACCCCCCGACAGGCCTCAGTATGTGATCTCCCCTCCCTGTGCCCATATATTCTCAATTGTTCAACTCCCACTTATGAGTGAGAGCATGTGGAGTTTCATTTTCTGTTCCTGTGTTAGTTTGCTGAGGATGATGGGTTTTTCAATGTTTCACAAGTGTCCCAGCACTTGGAGAAGCCAAGGTGGAAGGACTGCTTGAGCCCAGGAGTTCAAGACCAGCCTGGGAAACATCATCTGGGAAACCCCATCTCTACCAAAATTACAAAAATTAGCCTGGTGTGGTGGTGCATGCCTGTAGTCCCAGCTACTCAGGAGGCTGAGGCGGGAGGATTCCTTGAGCCCGGGAGGCAGAGGCTGCAGTGAGCTGAGATGGAGCCACTGCACTCCAGCCTGGGTGACAGAACCAGACCCTGTCTAAAAAAAAAAAAAAAAAAAAAGCCAACAAAAAATGTTTCAGAATTGATGTTTTTAAATTTGTGAGATAAAGGTAGGAAAAGTCGGGCAATAACTAGAAAATAAACTCAGATCTTCATATCACATCATAAATTCCAAATGCATTTCAGTAAGTGTTAAAATTTAGACACCTCTCAATGAAATTCAGAAAACTACTCGGCTAAGTGATTTTGGGATGAGCAGGCATTTCCTTTTAAGCATAAAAGAAAAGTTTATTTTCAAAGAATGAAAGATTTGACTATAGACATTTAAAATCGATTTCTACAGAAAAAAAAATCACAACATATACCTTACACCATAAATATAGTTATCACACAATAAAAGTTAAATGGCCTGCAACCATCAGAGACAAATACTTGCAAAAAGTGGCAGCTAAAAAGTTGGTATTCTTCATAAATAGTATGCTCTTATCCGTAAGACATAAACACCCAAACAGAGAAATGTGCAAAGGACAGAAATATAATAAACAAATTAAAAAGATCAATAAATGTATTTCAAAATATCTAACTGCATTAACAATCACAGAAATGCTAATTTAAGGCCAGGGGTGGTGGTGGTACACACCTTTAATCCCAGCTACTCAGGAAGCTGAGGAGGGAGGATGACTTGAGCTCAGAAATTTGAGTCCAGCCTGGGAAACCAAGCCAGACCCCAGCTCAAAAAAGAAAAGAAATGCTAGTTTAGTATTAAATTCCATGTGTCACTAATCAGATGACAAAAAACAATAACCAATATTGGAAAAGAGACAATAAAATGTATACTGCTGGCTGGCACATAAATTGGTACATTCTTCTGAAAAGGCAATTTGGTGATACGCATCAAAAGCCTCAATGGTCAAACCCTTTGATCCAGAAATTCTACTTCTTAAGTATTTATTTTTAAAATACATAAATCATCAACGTTTCACAGGAAGATTTATATACAAAGATGTTGTTCATCATTGCAGTATGTAATTTCTAACTGGAAACTAAGTGGCCATAAAAGGAAACAGGTTAAAGTCATAGAAATATACAATGTAATACTATGCAGTCATTACAAAAATGTAAGTCCTCAAATCATTTTCAATGACATGAGAAGGCTGACAAATATAGTAAATGAAAAAAAGGATAAATGTCTGTAGCAGAAAGATATATACACAAACATGTAGAAATAAGGTTAGCAGTGCTTTCTGGTGAAATTAGAGGGGATTTTAATTTTGTTTTAATTTTCTTCCTTTTGCTTTTCCAAATTATTCAAACTTTCTATAAAGTAGATTATTTCAATAACCTACAAAATATAATTTTAAAAATATCTAAATATACCAAATTAACATAAGATGATGAGACCACAGGGGTAACTCCTTTCTCTCTCTTTTAACTGATCTATGAGAGGATCAACTTTTAAAACTTTTTTTTTTTTTTTTTTTTTTTTGAGGCGGAGTCTCGCTCTGTGCCCCAGGCTGGAGTGCAGTGGCGCAATCTCGGCTCACTGCAAGCTCCGCCTCCCGGGTTCACGCCATTCTCCTGCCTCAGCCTCCTGAGTAGCTGGACTACAGGCACCCGCCACCGCGCCCGGCTAATTTTTTGTATTTTTGGTAGAGACGGGGTTTCACCGTGTTCGCCAGGATGGTCTCGATCTCCTGACCTCGTGATCCGCCAGTCTCGGCCTCCCAAAGTGCTGGGATTACAGGCGTGAGCCACCGTGCCCGGCCTAAAACTCTTTTTAAAAAAACCAAGTAGGCCGGGCAGGGTGGCTCTCACACCTGTAATCCCAGCATTTTGGGAGGCTGAGGCAGGTGGATCACCTGAGATCAGGAGTTCGAAACCAGCCTGGCCAACATGGTGAAACACCATCTCTACTAAAAATACAAAAATTAGCCGGGTGTGGTGGTGCATGCCTGTAATCCCAGCTACTTGGGAGGCTGAAGCAGGAGAATCACTTGAACCGGGGAGGCGGAGGTTGCAGTGAGTTGAGATCGTGTCATCGCACTCCAGCCTGGGAGACAGAGCAAGACTCTGTCTCAAAAAAAAAAAAAAGGAGTTGGAAGGGGTGGAGGAAAGGTAAGGAACTCAGCTAATGGCCTTACCAACTAGAGCAGGGGCCAGGGCATGGACAGACATCCAATATCTTGGTCCAGGAGCAAGACCTCAGACCTTGGACCCACTCCTCAGCACCACAGGACGTCGCCAACAAGAAGAACCACATCAAAGCTCAACGGATGCTATAAACATCTCATTTTTCCCTGCTAAATTTAAGCAAAAAAAAAAAAGAAAAAAAAAAAAAAACACAGAGGCCCAAAGAGGAAAGAAAGTGCTCAAAGGTACGTAACCAGTTGGTAGCACTTGACCTTCCATGAAAGTGAAAGGCATAGAGCAGAAACCTTTCCACACAACAGCACACACGCACACTCGGCCACACCACCCACCAACCATGGCCACCGTCCGCTGCAGATGGTGCACAGGTCTCAGGGCCTGAGCAGGAAGCTCTAGAGCTGAGGGAGCTCGGCTGAGCAAGACCCACTGAGGCCAGAAGAGCTGCCCTCGCGGATACAGCATCACCTTCCACGGCGGCCCCTCCACAATGAGAGGGGGTACCTCTACTCAGAGGGAGACAGACCGAGCCAGCGGCTGCTTCTGAGCTAGTTTCTTGGCCCAGAAGGTGGCAAGTTCAGCAGTAAGCAGAGAGCCCGAGGACCACGTTGGACTTCCGCCCTGGCTGGTTCCCCAAATTGAGGAATCAAAGTTCGCAGAGAGGAAGCTGCACATGTAAGACAAACTGCTACGACACTGCAGCTCCCCCGCAATTCCCTGTGACCCCACAGAAACCAGCGTTCCTCTGCTCGTCTGCTCTGCCCATTGAAAGTAGAGGGGTATCACACCAGTCAGGAGTAGAGCAGAGACACAGTCCTTTGCTCATCCTTGCTGGATGCCTGGGTGGGTGGCCAGAACTGTTTCATGTCTGGGGCACACACACAATAAGAGACAAAGTAGAAGGTGACGAATCCACATGATGCCAGGGTGGTCATGAGATGACCCAGAAAGAAAGTGCAAAAAACGCATACTCATAATCATGACAGAATCACAAAAACACCATCCATCAGGACACTCGCCCACGTGTTCTGAAAAAGGGAACAGCAACTGAACAACCACTATCATTCCAGGCACCTCACAGACCTTCGTTCTTCTAACTCCACAAAATTATACTTCTTGTTTTACCCATGAAAACCCTGAGGCTCAGAGAAAAAGAAGAGGCATCTCCAAGTCACAGAGCCAGGAAGTGCCAGAGTTGGAATTCAAACTCCAAAGCCCGTTTCTCCCAGGACATGGTGAGGGAGCTTGTCTCCATCGCCAGAGGGCTTTTTGTCTAGCATGGATGGAACCCTGCTCCGGTGCTGCGTAGGACACAGGCCAGCCGTCCCACCACTGCCAGGTGCGGCTCCAGGACCTGGGATGCTGACCGTACTCAGTCTATGCCTTCAAAGGACATGATCATGGTCACAATAAATAGTCACGACGTGTCCAGGCGCAGTGGCTTAGGCCTATAATCCCAGCACTTTGGGAGGCCCAGGCAGGTGGATCACTTGAGCCCAGGAGTTTGAGACCAGTCTGGGCAACATGGTGAGACCCCCCGCAGCTCTACAAAAAAATTTAAAAATTAGCTGGGCATGGTGGCCTACACCTGTGATCCCAGCTACTCGGGAAGTTGAGGTGGGAGAGTCACTTGGGTTGAGGAGGTCAACGGTGCTGTGAGCCATGATCATACCACTTCATGCCAGCCTGGGCCACAGAGCAAGACCCTGTCTCAAAAAGGGAAGGGGAGGGGAGGGAAGGGGAGGGAAGGGAGGCAGTAATAATGCTACCAGTCTCTGAGCATTTGCTCCATGGAGGGGCTCCAGGAGGAATGCAGAGTGCTACCCTGTTACCCACGTAAGGTATCTGATGTTTCCATTTTTCAGATGAGGATACTGGGGCTGGAGGGGTCACGCAGCTGGGAAGTGGAACCTGAACCTGCACCTGTTCTGTTTCCCGAGCCCCACCTCACCCACCGTAACAAAGTCACAAGGCCCAAGTGGGCCTTTCACATCAACTCCCCACTGCTTCCGGGTTCCACTGGGCCCGGGCCTCCGGCCACTACCTTGGTTGAGGTAGGTCAGCGTCTCTTCATGCAGCTTCACGGCTGGGGACGTGGCAGCACACAACACGTACTGCAGGGGTGGCAGGCGGGCCTCGTTCTCAGGGGACAGCTGGGGCTCCTCCTGCTTGAAGATGGGCAGAGCGAGCACATCACTGCAACACACAGGAAGCAGAGGTCAGGAACAGAGCCCCAGGGGGCTCCTGCACAGAGCCAGGGCGAAGCTGGAGAGACGACGCAGACCACCAGGACCCAGGGCGACACAGCATGCACATCGCACGCAGGCTGCACTCCTGCAACCCTTGCACACTCCAGATGCTTTAAAACAGAGGAACCCACTCCTTCATGACTCTAATTTCACTCAATGACCCCCCAAAACACTGATTCAATCAGCCCACCAAGGAGGTAAAACGGCAAAGTTCCATTTATTTGGTTTCTATCCACAAGTGATCACTCATAATGTTTCACTTTTAGAATAAAAATCTACACAAACATTTTTATTTTTTAATCAACAATTCCATTAACTGGCCACTTCTCATAGCAGTACAAGCCTGTCCTCCAGGTTCTGTAAACTATGCAAATGAACACACCACTTCCTTCGCTCCCTGAGTACCCAGGTTGAGAGATTCCTCCATCCCTTCTAAAGAGAGGACAACCGGACACTGTTTTCAGGGTCATTCTAATCTGTCCAAAAGGCAAACAGGAAGGAAGGAAGGACCTTGGCTTCAAGTCTGTGTGTGTATGGTTTTTTTTTTGGGGGGGGCGCGGCAGGGTGGGGGGTGGTGGACGGAGTTTCACTCTTGTTGTCCAGGCTGGAGTGCAGTGGCACAATCTCGGCTCACTGCAACCTCCACCTCCCAGGTTCAAACCTCCCGAGTAGCTGGGATTACAGGCATAAGCCACCACGCCTGGCTAATTTTTGTATTTTTAGTAGAGATGGGGTTTCACCATGTTGGTCAGGCTAGTCGTGAACTCCTGACCTCAGTGATCCACCCGCCTTGGCCTCCCAAAGTACAGGGATTACAGGTGTGAGCCACCGTGCCCGGCCCAGTCCGTTTTCTTATCCAAGTGGGAAATCTTGAAATCCTTGCTTTAAGTTTCTCTTCCTCCATCTCTTAACAAAACTCCCCACATTAAAAAAAAAAATGAAGTCATCATCCTTCGACTTAGTGAGGAACTTGTTTCTGGATGTATTTTTTAGGCCAGGCACGGTGGCTCATGCCTGAAATCCCAGTACTTTGCGAGGCTGAGGTGAGAAGACTGCTTGAAGCCAGGGGTTTGAGACCAGTCTGGGCAACATAGTGAGACCCCACCATCTCTAAAAAAAAAAAAGGAAAAATAAACAAAAAACCTAGCATTTTTTAAATGCCCTTACAAAGGACAAAGAATTCCTTGAGAACATGAATGACCTACAGGCAGGCAAGGCTTGTTTAAGGCCTCTAAATTATGAGCAGCACAGAAACAGGTGCCAAAAAAGTACCAATGCTCTTATCTTGATAACCCTCTTCCCTTCGTGGGTCCCTGACTAGGAATCCAATTACCTGACCCCACTTGTCTGTATAAACAGAGTCACTGGTACAATCTGTTCCTCGCACATCATAAACCAGCGTCTCTACAACACAAACCCAGCACACACTCTATCAACATCTAATCAATTTTCAGAAGAAAAAGCCTGGCATTGGGCACACACCTGGAAAACCTGCCCTGTGTGGGCCTCCCCTGTCACTATCCACTACTGAAAAATAAGGGTGCAAGGCCGTCTCGGCTTTCCCCACAGGGCGTCTTCCTTTTGTCAGGGCAGGGCACGCTCCCAGCCCGGGTGGTTCTCTAGGAACACTGGGGATTGCATAATTTCATGTTTGCCCAGACCATGTCAAGTTAATAATCCATGGACTGCTGCCTTTAAATTTTTTAAAAAGGGGTGGGAGGGCGGAGGAAGTTAAGAACCATCGCTCAACAGTAACTTGTTTCAAGCCTGGCATCCTTATTTGCCAAGGAATAAAAGTCACGAGAACATCAAACAGAAAAGGGGAAGGGAGTAAAGGCCTCTACCCTGGTGAGGCCAGAGAGCTTGCAGAAGTTCTGCCAAGTGACGAGATGACCAAAAATAAAATACAAAAAACGCAAGGATAAAGGACAAGACCCTCCCTTTCTAGAGTCAGGGGAACCAAGGACATATGCACAAACCCCCACCTGGGCCCTCACTGAGGGAAAAACTCCCAGCTTCCAAGAAGTGAAATAAAAAAAGAACATGGACTTCTTTATCCACGGTCCCCCGATGACCCCAGAAGCCAATATGGCTTTACAGCACCACCCACTCCCAATGCTCACCCTCCTCCTTTCACCAAATCCTAAAAGGTATCTGAGCTACTCGGGACAAATTTCCATCTTGGTAGCAGACGTCAGAACTGTACCTCCCAGGCAAGGGAGAACTGTTCCCTAATGGGGTGATGACATTGCGGGTATCTAGAAGTTTTAAGCACATTCACCTTCAACTCAGGGTCACCTTCAAACTCATTGTTAAGATATGGCAACATACTTAATGGCTGCAAATTAAAATTCAGGCAAAGCTACAACGAAAACTTCAGTAAAAATGTATTCCATTGTAGCATTTCTTGTAAGTGAATGGACACTTAATCTGTGGGTGATTAACATCTCCTCCTGGGCTTCCAACATCCCCCAGAGCAGCTTCCGTCTGGTGACATCACCGTGGTCTGCCGGGTGGCTGCCAGCCTTTAAGGCTCCAGACCTTTGCCATCTCCAACTACTTTGGCCCATGAATAAAAACAGCAGATACGTCCGCTAAACCCAATCATTCCCCCGCCTCCAGGAAAAGCGGATGTCTTCAGGGAGGGCAAATACCTACCAGCAGCCAGGAATTACAAATAACGTTTTGAGAACTAAGTGGGAACTTCTTGGGGCCAAAACTAGCACTAAATGTAGCTCTGGTAGGGGGACTGTCAATGCCTGTGACTCCTTCGGCCTCATAATTCATTTTCCCTGAGCCCATATCAAATGCCTTTTGGGTTAAATTAGGCACATTTCATAAACTGTGACTAGGATGGAAATAAGGACAGGCTAAAGCTGGTTCAGGCGAGTTCACAAAGTGAAATGACTGCCCATTAGTCCCGGCCAGCGGCAGAACAGGGAAAAACAATCCTCCGGCAGACAGAGCACACGGGGTCCTACTGCTAAGAGGGGGTTGTGGGGAACCGTGCAAAACACGCAGGACTTACTCTCCCCTCCGAAGGGCACTACTCAAATCCCTGCAGAAGAAGAAAGATTTCCATCATGGGCAATAACCATGCGGGCCTCGGGCGAACACGCGCAAGACTACCGCGGGGAGCGGGGTGGCCTGCCCCTCCGAGCGCGCCGCCCCAGGCCGCCGCCCTCACCTGGTCCGACCAAGGGCACTGCAGAGGGCGCAAGGCTGGGAGAGGGGCCCCGGCGGAGACGGGCAAAGAGCAGGGGACGAACTTCCCCGGGCCGGGCACCAGGTTGCTGGCAGGAAGTTTCCTCTACTCCGATACGCGCGGGGAGAGGAGGGCCGCGGGAGGTGGATGGGCCAGGGGAGGCGGCGGGCCGGCAGGTGCGCGCCCTGCACCCTCTCCGCCGTCGGGGAGGAGCCCTCGCAGGCATAGGGCTCTGCGCGTCCGCCTCCCCGGAGGGCCCCCAACTCCGCACGTCGGGTCCCGCCGGCGTCCGTCTGTCAGTCCCTAGGCGGGACGCTGGGCGGGTCTCTCGGTCCCCAGAGGGCGGACAGCAGGGAGGCCAGGACCCAGCAGGGGCGCCCTCTCTCCGCCCCTGGACGTCCAACGGCGCCCGGCCCGCCGGCCCGCCCCGAGCCCCGCGGAGACGGCGTGAGGCCCTTACCGCAGGTAGCTGCCGGAGTTGTGCTGGTTGTAGTGCTCGGGCTGCGTGTGCCAGAAGAGCATGGCTGGAGCTCCCAGCGCGCCCACCTGGGCGCGGCAGCGAGCACAGACAAGGGGCGCGCGGAGCTCCCACCGGCTGCTTCGCGCTCCGAACCCGTGGTGCCGGCCGGCTGGGCGCATTTATGGGCGGCCCAGGGGCGGGACCGCGGCGGGACCCGCCCCCCAGGAACCTCGGCCGGGAGGGCGGCTCCCCGCGGCCGCCGCACCTGGCCGACACGCGCGCGTGCCTTTCTGGCGAACGAGCGCGCCTCCGGGGCGGCCAGACCACAGGGACCTAGGGCCGGGTGGGCGCTCTCCCCCCAACCCCCGATGTCGGGCTCAGGTGACCCTTGCCGCCGCCGACCCGCCCCACGCGGCCCCTGTACCCTCTGCTCCCCACTCTACGCCCAAGGCCAGTCTCCAGAGCGGCTCCGAGATTTCCAGCCTAGGCTCTCTCTGTCTCCTTTCCTTGCTCTTGTTTTTTCATAGCACTTCAGACGCTCTGAAATCATGGCTTTTTTTTTTTTTTTTTTTTTTTTTTTTTTTGAGACAGGGTCTCACTCTGCCACCCAGGCTGGAGTGCAGTGGCGCGATCTCGGGGCTCACTGCAACCTCGGCTCCCAGGTTCAAGCGATTCTCCTGCTTCAGCCTCCCGAGTAGCTGGGATTACAAGCGCCCCCCCATCACGCCCGGCTAATTTTTTAATTGTTAGTAGGGACGGGGTTTCGCCATGTTGGCCAGGCTGGTCTCGAACTGCTGACCTTAGGTGATCCGCCCACCTCGGCCTCCCAAAGTGCTGGGATTACAGGCGTGAGTCACCGAGCCGGGCCGACATTTTTTTATTTTTTATTTTTACTTGTGTACTGATTGTCTTTCCCATTAGACTGTAAGCTCCAAGAGGACAGGGCCTGGCTCTCTTAACACCCCGTTACCTGCACTGCATAGAAGGGTGCATGGGACATAGTTAAGATAAATACTTGTTGAGTAAACCTGAAAATAAAAAAAGGAATGCACCAAAAGAGTAATCGGAGAAGGCTTCCTGGAGGAGGTGACATTGAGCTGAGACCTGATGGATGCAGAGGAAGCTGTCTGTGAACAACACCTAGAGAAAAATAGTTCCAAGCATAGTTCCCCACCCCCTTGGCAACAGTGACTGCCAAAGCCTTGAGGAAGACCTTGGCATGGCTGGTCCTGGGGAGAGCTTAGGAGGAGAGGTGAGGAGGGCGGGGAAGATCAGAGGGCCTGGCAGGCCAGGACAAGGAGCTAGGATTTTATTCTGTGTTTTAAGCAGAGGAGTCACATGTATGATTTGCCTTTTGGAAACATCGGTCTGGCAGCAGTGTAGACAGTGGGTCATGGGGTGGCGTGGAGGGCCATTAGGAGGGAGTGGAGTTCCATGGAGCCCTGACCCACATCCAGGTGCTATCTGGTCCTCCAGTACATGGCACAGCACCTGGCACAGAGGAGATGGGGATTCCGTCCCTGATTATTAATGCAGTCAAATGACATCCCTTGGGGACCTGGGTCCAGAACTCCCCGCTCCCCAAGCATGGATGTGGGTAAAACCCTCCCTCCCTCTGCTGTTCCTGCCCCCCTCCCTTCAGCCACAGGTCACAATTGGCAAACCACTTCCTCCGTGCAGCCCTCAAGGACTGCCACCTCCCCACTGTTCTGCCCTGTTAGGAGAATGGGAATATTTCCCTGGCTGCAGGTGGTGCTGTCAGCAGACAGTCCCCCAGCCATCGGCTTCTCCAGGAACTGCCCCTGCTCAGAGAGCAGCCTTGCCCTCCAGCAGTCATGTCCCTCCTGGGATAGCCCACATCCCAGGAACTATCCCAGCAGGAGTATAAAAGCCTGGCCATCTCTGCCCGATTGGGGACAGTGCTGATGGGGTATTTTAGCCCCAGGACTCCCCATGAAGACAGTCGAAGCTGTCACAAGACCTGTGTCCTGCTCAGGGTCTCCCTCCTGCTTCTTTCCAGTTCCTTGCCCAGGGGTTACTCTTATGGGAGCTTCCAAAGAAACATCCTGAACACCAACCCCCACAACAAACCTCACCCCATCAGGGTCCATGTCAAACCCATTGTTTAAATGGGAGGCACTCTGGGGTGGTCTGGAAAGAGCATGTCCTTTGCCGGACTCATCCTTGAGTTCTAACAGGAGAGGCCCATGGGTAAGCAGCAGTGACAGTACAGTGTGGTCAGGGACGTAGAGGCTGCCCTGGGAACACAGAGGGCGACTCTGGAGCTCCGAAGAGGCTCCAGCGTGAAGTGCTGTCTCCTGAAGGATGGGTGAGTGGAAGTGAAAGCAATCTGTGGAGATGGAGGGAGGTCTCCCCCACAGTAGACGCTCCTGCACAAGCCTGGAGGAAGGGCAGTCAATATTATTAGATGGCTCAGACCTGGGTTTACTACTTAGCTCCATCTGAATATGTGACCTTTGGTGGAGTAAACTGACCTCATGCTGCTTCTCCCATCAAGAGGTGGTGTCTGTTTCCTTCTCCTCCCCCTTCCGCCTGGGCTGAGCCTGCGACTTACTTTAACCATAGAATGCAGAGGCAGTAATACTGTTCCCTTCTGGGCTGGCCCCTAGGCAGCTTCTCTTTTTCTTTTTTCTTTTTTCTTTTTTTTTTTGAGACGAAGTTTCTTGTTGCCCAGGCTGGAGTGCAATGGCAGGATCTCAGCTCACTGCAAGCTCTGCCTCTTGGGTTCAAGCGATATTCCTGCCTCAGCCTCCTGAGTAGCTGGGATTACAGGTGCCTGCCGCCACACTCAGCTAATTTTTTGTATTTTAATTAGAGACAGGGTTTCACCATGTTGGCCAGGCTGGTCTCGTGACCTTCAGGTGATCCACCCATCTAAGTCTCCCAAAGTGCTGGGATTGCAGGCATAATAGGCAGCTTCTCTTAACTCTCCCGGAGCTCTGAGCCACCAGCCTCCAAATGCCCTATTGGAGAGGGAGACCTGGCCAGCCTCCAATCCCTCCAGCCACCCAGCAGAGCCCATCTAAGATGCCCCAGTAGATTGCCTCCAACCACACCTCATAGAACTGAGGCAAGCCCTGCCCGCCCAAGCCCTGCCCAAAATGCAGGCTTGTGAGCAAATGGGTGGCTGTGGCCTTACACCACTAAGTTGTGGGCTGGTTTGTTTCATGCAAATGGAAAAATGATACACTGGGCCCTTTGGATCTGGGTTTTGCTATGGGAATAATAAGGCCTCATTCCATGGTTGTGGTCAAGCTTAGGTTCAGGTGAGTTTAGCTTCTCAGGGATGATGGCTCTCATGACCTAAGTATGACTCTGTGTATTTTGGGTCACTGCCTACCTTCTCTCTCTTTGTAGGCTTTTAGCTGTGGGAGGGTAGAATTCAGCAATGCCTACAGAGACAGCATTTGAGTCACACTGTGTGAATAAAAGTGCATATTTCTGCCCATGACTCTTGGGTGTTACAGGGCACAATTAGGCCTAGTCTGGACCCCTGGGGCTTCCAGTCTGCTGAGGAGGAGGAGGCAGATGTGCAGGGGGTGGCCGGCCAGTTCCTTTTTATTTTATGAATGTTCACAATTCCCATTGATTTTTACTGTGCACCAGACCCGGAGCCATGCACTGACATCTCCCGACACGGAGAAGTAGAAACATCATCTGACCTTCCCATTGAAGAAACAGGCTCGGGAGGCCACAGCTGGGATCTGAGGCCAGGCCTGTAAATTCAACAATCATACTCTGGCTCTCATCCATTCCTGTCTTAAGGCCCAGCATTCCTTTCTTCACCCTACACTAGGCAAAGGTGCTGTGACCAGATGTCGTCTACTCCCAGGATCACCCCAGGGTTCCTGCAGAGACAGCGGAAAGGGGTCCGCTGAGTACTCAGGAGTCACCCCCTTAGCAGCTCCGCAAGGGATTCCCAGCTGCTCTCGGAAGTTGTCATGATGAAGACTGGGGGCTTCACGTCTGAGAAGATGGTTTTTTGTTGTTGTTGTTTTGGAGACGGAGTTTCGCTCTTGTTGCCCAGGCTGGAGTGCAATGGTGTGATTTTGGCTCACCGCAACCTCTGCCTCCCAGGTTCAAGCGATTCTCCTGCCTCAGCCTCCCTAGTAGCTGGGATTACAGGCATGTGCAACCATGCCCAGCTAATTTTGTATTTTTAGTAGAGACAGGGTTTCTCCATGTTGGTCAGGCTGGTCTTGAACTCCCAACCTCAGGTGATCCACTCGCCTCGGCCTCCCAAAGTGCTGGGATTACAGGCATGAGCCACCGCGCCAGGCCGATGGTTTTAAGGCATAAATAGAAGTTGAAGATTGGCCAAGGTAGAGGGTGGGATTTAGCCAGAGGGAAAGCGAGTGCACACATGTTTTTCACAGTGTTTATCACAGTTTATCTTGGGATCAGCAGCTCTGAATGAGAGAAGCAGTGAGCAGAGGACAGAGTTAAGCTGTGTGGCCTCGGTAGATCCTATGTAAGCTCCGGGGCCAGGCTGGCACTCCGAGTTGTCCAGAATTTGGTCAGGGGTTCAAGCCTCTATACATCACCTTGACCAGTCATGGAAAGATGTGGTTGCCTTGGGGAAGGGACATCACTTTGGGCAAAGCGGCTCAGTTGAGTCCTGAAGAGGGACCTGTCAGGGTTACCACCTGCCAAGGCTCCTTGCAGCAGGGGCCTGAGTGCCGTGGCTGGAGAGGGGACACTTTGGCTGGACATGGCGGCACCTACCACGCTCTCCAACCTCGGAATCTTTGTTTATGGAATGAAAATGATGATGCCTCCCTGATCGAGTCGTTGGGAGCACCGAGACAG